GCATCTTGAAACTCTGCGCTTTTCTGTGTTCCACCCAAGCCATGGTGGAGCGGGCTTAGAAGGGAGGCTGGGGCATGCAGCACACTTCTAGACAGCTACAGGCCTGGTAAGAAAGACAAACACAACAGACTGTGAAACCCATGACGGGCAATTGTTGTCATAGATTGTTTCATCTTGTCTTAAGAAATTCCTGTCTTTCTTTTTCTTTTTTCTTTCTTTTCTTTTTGCATTTTTTAGTACAGGGTGTACAGGGTGTACAGAGTCTCACTATGTAGATCAGACTCAGTGATTCTCCTGTTTTCAGGCTCCCAAACACTGGGCTTACAGGTGCGCACCACCCTGCCCAGTCTCCTGTTTTTCTTTTTTAAGGCTTTAAAACTATGTAAACAAAGGTAAGCCTTTGGTTTGTCATTTATGGTATTTTTTATTTGAATTGTCATTTGCCATTTTTAAAAAATTGTGTAAGATTTGCACCTGTCCTTCGTGATTTCTAATATTATCATCATCCCCAGAAAGCCTTCCACTTTAATTCTATCTATCTATCTATCTATCTATCTATCTATCTATCTATCATCTCTATTTTATACTAGTTAGATGCTTAGAGAAGGGAAAATGTGCCAGCTCATCACTTCATTGGTTTATGCAGCAGAACAAACGCTCACTTTGGAACAGGAGGAGGCCTGTGGATCCATGTTTTCCAAGCCACAAACATGCTCTGTGACTAGAGTGGTATGGGACAACTGGGGAAGGGGTGGGCTAGAGGACAGTAACCCTGTATCTCTAAAAATAAAGGAAAAGGGATCACACAGATGTGGCTCTGTGGTTTAGAGGTATGGTCCTCACTTTGGGTGTTAGAGGTCCCGGATAGGGCCTTCAAGCTTTTTTCCTGTCACAGATGCTTAGTCCTTGCTGGCCCACTGCTGAGAATAGAGCTAGAAGGATGGGGATCCCCGCCCCGGGTCTAGGTTGAGATCCTGGCTTCACTGGACACCTACACTTCCTAGTGCTGTGCCTCAAGGGAGTGAGGGAATTCGTGGCCTGCGTGTTGGAAGGTTCCGGGAGAACGGGTCAGCCTAGATCTGCTGAAATTTCAGGGACCAGGTCAAGGATACGCACAGGGAGGACACGAGGACAACAGTGACCCCGAAGCTGAACCCCCTAAGTTAGATGTGGTCTTCACCCTCTGGAAGGAGCCCTGGGATCGAGGACTTCCCCGCCACCAACTCCTCTAGATGGCGAGAAACTTTCTTAGGTTTTGATCAAGTCACGGAAGCAGGAACCGCGGAGCGGGAGCAGCCGGCACCAGCAGGCGTTTGCTCTGCCCGCTGGGCCGTACCACGGGGCTTCGGCGTGGCCAAGACCCGCCCGGCTGCCGCGGTCGCGGCTCCCAGGAGGCTCTCGTCCAGCTCTCGGAAGATCTGTCTGCCCCGCCAGAGTGATTCGGACTTCACCCCAGCTCGAGCTGTGGCGCGGAGGGAGCGGCCGGCCAGGGCTCAGGAGCTGCTCCTTCCATTGTGGGTCACAGAGAAGGCTGAGGCGCTGGGCTCCCTCAGGCATTTCTGTGAATTTAGCTTTAAAGGGAAGTCTGAAACCTGACTCTTTTTAGCTCAGCTACTTGGGTTCCACCGAGCACACTATGACAGTCAGTCATAAAGAGAAACAGAGGTTATACTTTCCGTGGCTCGTTGGTCTAGGGGTATGATTCTCGCTTAGGGTGCGAGAGGTCCCGGGTTCAAATCCCGGACGAGCCCCGTTTTGTCTTGCGATGTATTCTACATTTTTCCTTCCAGTGCAGGTCTGGTCTGGGCTCTATGCTCCAGATTACAGCTGGAGATCCAAGTTCGACCTCTAGAAAGTCAATTGTTAAAAGGGTTTAATACTGAAGCTACCAACTGGGGCTTGTTAAACATCGAATTGGAGCCCTTGGCCTGGAAGAAGTGTCTTTTTTCTTTACAGCCGAGGCCTTTCAGACCTCAGCCTGGGATTCCCTTTGGCTCTGAGGGCCAGAATTTATGGAGAGGGACCCTGCAATGACAAGTTAGTGGCTTTCATAGCTGGTGGCCTGAGGCTTTCCTCTCCTCTCCTCCTATTCACCTAGCTGGAGAAGGAAAGCCGCCCCAACAGGCCTGGGCTCTTGCCAGCTCTACTCTGAGGACATGTTACAGCAGGATTTTAATTCTGTTTGGAATGTAGCCTGAAGAATGTGCCATGAACCAATGATCATGAATAATGTGGTTGTATGTATTTGATGATCAAATGAAAAAAGACAAAGGGAGGAGAGGGAGAGACAGAACAAAAACAAAAGATGAAGTTACAATGATCCATGTCCTCTGATCCCTGGCAGAAGCAAACAATTTATTTTTAGTGGAAAAAGACACTTTTAGAAGTCTACATCTTACATCTACACAATGAAATTTACAAGGAAAATGACAGCCCACCTGTAAAAAATAACAAGGAAACAATGTACTCTGAGCAACAACCCCTGAACAACAGGCACATCAGCTGAGGAATGGATAAAAGTCTGGCCAGGGAGCTAGTTCAGTGATGTAGGCGCCTGCCTCACAGGGGTGAGCATCTGAGTTCACTCCCCGGTACCAAAAGGGGGCGAGGGGAGATGTGGTCTATTTATACACTGGAATACTACTCATCCATAAAGAAGTGTAGACTTTCATAAGTAAACAGATGACACTCGAGGCCATATTCATAAGTGAAATAAACCAGACTCATGTGTAAATGCTGTATTGTCTCCTTAGTGTGAGAAGCAGAAGGGTAAATAGGACTCAAAGTGTACAATAGATTGGGAAAGGGGACGAAACTGTTCAAAAGGAAAGAAATGGGGGAAAGGAGAAAAGAAGGAAAGGAAAAGCAAAAAAAGCCAGGGGGATAGCTCAGTGGAATAAGTGCTTGCCTGGCAAGTGCAAAGACCTGAGTTTGCTCTCTGGTACCACCAAAAATAAATAAATAAATAAATAAATAAAATAAAATATAAATAAATAAAATATAAATAAATAAAATAAAAATAAATTATATATACATACACATATGTATGTATATATATGATAGTTAAGATAGTTCCACTATTAACTTCTATTCATTGAAAAGAGAGGTTTGTGTTAATATTGCTTGGACAATTAAATGCCTATATCTTTTACGCTGAATAATTTAAAGATAACAATACACAGTATATTAACCATTGTTAGTCTCCTATCATCTTATTTTGCCTCCCCCCCCAAACTCAGGCCCTTGTACTTGCCAGGCAGGCATTTATGACTGCTGAGCTATTTCCCTGGTTTATTATCTTGTTTTGAAATTTTGTATTTTATTCTCTTTAAAATAAAATTAAAAAAAAAAAAAACACACACACACACACAAGAAAGTCATAAACAACTAGAGTTCCAGAACGTGAGTGTTCATCTGGGGCCAGCCAGTACTGGGGACACCTGAGTCCTAGAGCGACTTAGAAACTCAGTTCCAACACCTAGGTAGGCCCTGCACACCTACAGGTAGAGGGCCACCGGGAGTTCAGTTTAACACCCCCCCCCCCCGCCATCCCCCAACCCCCCGGGGCGCTTCTACCAGGGACCCCTGGATCTCCACCTTCCAGACTCTGTGGCACCACAGCTGGTTCAGTCCAGGGACCATGAAGCTCTTAATGAAGGTTTTGGTTCCGCAAGCAACATCCACTTATTTAGGTTTGGTTTGGGGACACTGGGCTGTGGAACTCGGAGAAGCCGCCTCTGGACAGAGATTGAATAGGCATCTGCTGGGCACTGGTCTCCTGACCGCATGTCGGGGACGGGGGCCCGAGTTGGGTGAAGGTCTTCCAACGCAGTGGGTCGGGTTCTGGCCTCCGGTGGTTGCTTAGCGGTCGGCGGTAGCAAGGGAGCAGGTTCTGGAGGAAGCCCTGAACAGACGCTGGATTTCTTCGGTGAGACTGTGGGTTGGAGAGCGGCGGGCGCGCACCACCCCGCCCGGGCGGAGCCGGGAATCGTGTGGGGGCGGAGACAAGCAAGGGGACCGGGCTCGCAGCTCGCGTCTTTCCTTTAATGCGCGCGCAGCGATTTCCTCCCCAGGAGGATTCCTGTGAGGGCCTGGAAGGACCCTCGGCTTCACCCCAGCCGTCACTGTCCAAGGTCGCCATGTGGTGAGGGAAGGCGCAGCGGGGCCGCTGGTGGGAGACGGCCAGAGGGCTCAGGAAGTGTGCTCCATCCCGAGGAGGACTGAGTACGGTCTTGCTATACAGTTCAGGCTGGTCTTGAACTCGTTAGGTAGCCCAGGTTGGTCTCAGACTCTCAGGAATCCTGCCTCAGCCTCCCGAGTGCTGGGATTACAGATGTGCTGGCTGGGACTACAGATGAGCGTCTGTGTGTCCGGTCTGCTTGCCTTGATTTATTATTTAGCTTGCATCTCAGCATCCTCAGAGCGTCATATTATCCCTGTATCCAAAAACGTTCTAGGGTGCCTGGCTAGCTCAGTCGGTAGAGCATGAGACTCTTAATCTCAGGGTCGTGGGTTTGAGCCCTATGTTGGGTGATTTGGCATTTTGCCTTGGACTTGGTGTCCTTTGAGTCTTGATTTACTCAACTGGCGTTTATAGACTCACCCAGTTGGTGAAATGGCACAGGTCGCAAGTGGGCTATCAAAAATGCCCCCCCCCCCCAAGAAGTCTGTGTCCTGGTGATTGAGGTACCCTCCTCGTGTACTTTTGCCCCAGAGCTGGTGACAGCGAGGAAGGCGTGTGGCCTCTGGGCGGCTGGTGGATCGCCCGATCAGGAGCTCAGTGTTTGTTGTGGAGGACTGCGGAGGGCGGGGGAGGGCTGGCTTGAGGGTGGCAGGAGTTTCACCCCACTCATGCAGACCAGGTAGGGCCAGGTCGCTAGGCTTTTCCATGCCTTTCAACTATTACACTTCCAGGCGGGTCACAAGTTCAGATTTGCTCAGGATTCCCCATGGAGGACATATGGACCACCATGGAAAGTGATAGAAGAACCTAAGACTGTGGCTTGTTGGTCTAAGGGTATGATTCTCGCTTAGGGTGCAAGAGGTCCCGCGTTCAAATCCCGGATGAGCCCTTTCATTTTGGACCGAACTCCAACACCCAGAAAAGTACTGAAACAGAAAATCCTTGATGGTTTTAAGGCTCAAACTGGTCCCACATGTCTTTAGATTTAAAATTGTAGCCCTCGGATACGGACAGCCCCAGACAGGGACCCTTATCCAGTCAAAGTGAACCTAGTTTGAAGCTAGAAAGGACTAGAGTCCGCAGCAGGAAGCGCTCCCCAGGCCACGCCCTTAAGAGACCCAGCCCCTCGCTGAGTCCAACACCTGGACACTTGCGGGAGGCAAGGGTGAAAGTCCCCCGTCGTCCCCCACTCCCCATCCCCCGAGTTCCCCCAGAGGCTCTCCATCTCTTGCCCCTCAGTTCCTTGTCATCATTCACCTGGGCTTCCTAGTTGCGTTCTGGGCCTGCATGCCCAGGTGAGGAAAGGACCCTTGGAGCTATGGCTGTGGCCTGGATGCCCAGTCGTGGAGCCCACACCATGAGGACGTTGGGCTGGGCAGAGGCTCAGTTCTTGCTAGTTGGGGATCCAGGCAACGGTTGATTTTTGACGTCTAAGGGAGTTTCGGAGTTCTAGTCCTTCAAGTTACTTTGCTGAAAGGGCACCCCTCCCCCTACTGACTTCTCCTGGGGTTTAAACAGTTCTGTCCTAAATTTAGCAGTGAGAGGTAAAGGGCCGGGAGGGAGAAGGGGGAGAAGAAGAGAAAAAGAAGAGAAGGAAAGAGCATATATTTGCTGGTCTAAGTAATTGCTTCAGGACCTTAGTCAACAGATGGGATTACATCAAACTAAAACCTGTACAGCAAAAGAATCAATCTAGAGCAAAGAGACGGCCTACAAAGTAGGAGAAAATATTTGCAATATTTGGGGAGATTGCTCAGTAGAATAAGTGCTTGCATGGCAAGCATAGGGTCCTGAGTTCAAGCCCTGGTACCCAAAAAGAAAACAATCTGCACTTTTTTTTTTTTTTTTTTTTTTTGTGGGACCAGGGATTGAATGCAAATTGTTAATCCAATAGACTACACAAGGTATTAAAACAACTCAACTGAAAAATCTGATTTTAAAGTGGACAAATGACTTGAAGAGATGTTTTTCTTTTCTTTTTTCTTTTTCTTTGTTTGTTTGTTTCTTTCTTTCTTTCTTTTTTTTTTTTTTAAGGCAACACTAGGTTTCAGACTTGGAATCTTGTACTTGGTGACCCAGCCCTGAAGAGATGCTTCTTACTAGCCAGCTAATTGACAACTCTCACATGAATGTGAAGTTCAGCACTTCTAATCACCAGTGAAATACAAATCAAATCCACAATGAGATATTATCTTACCCAAATTGGAACAGCTGTTTTTGAAACTCTGACACACTGTTAGCTAGCATGAAGCTTCCTTTAAAAGTCAATAAACTTGAAACTGTGGCACACATTTACAATCCCAGCACTCTGGAAGGCTAGGAGAACAAAAATTCAAGCCCTGAGCTGGGTGTGGTGGTGCACCCCTGTAATACCAGAATTTAGGAGGCTGAGACAGGAGGATCACTGCCAATTGAGACTAACCTGTGCTATATAGTGAGTTCAAGGCCAGCCTAAACTGCATAGTGAGATTCTGTCTTAAAAAAAAAAAAAAATCAAGCCCTGTCTGCCTAGACGATTTATCTGCTTAAAATGACCCTGTCTCAGTATTAAAATAAACAACCAAAAAAGGCACTGGAGATATAGCTCAGTGGGAAGGTTGTGCATTCAGTTCACAGTACCACAAATGAAACAAAACTATACATAGATTTCACATAAATCAACAGATTTCAGATTGACAGAAATCTCTATACTGGGCATATATTCAAAGAGATTAAAATTCGAATATAGAAAGACATCTGCGCTCTCCTGTTTATTGCAGCATCATTCCTAAGGGTCAGGACATGGAATCTGCCTAGGTGTCCATTGACGGATGAATAGATAAAGGAAACGTGACCAGTGTTATGGTGGCTGTGTAGAATTTTTGCCAAAAATGTTTAACATGAACCTGAAATGAAAGCCGGGAGGATCGTTGGCGAGTTCGAGACCAACCTGGGCTACAAAGTGAGTTTACACCCAGCCTGAGCTGCACAGCGAGATTCTGTCTCAAAAAGGCAAACAAGCAAACCAACCAATCCACCGCTACCCCCGCACGCAAATCCAGATTGTGAAGTTTACACATAATAAACGACCACCTTTGCCCATCCATCTTTTTTAGTCCTTTTCAGGTTTCACTTTTGTTTTTCTGATACCAGGGACCGAACATGGGACACTGCAGCTACCAGGTAGGTACTTACTGCACTATGGTACACTCCCAACTCTTGCCTTTTCGTTTTGAGATGGGGTCCTACTGTGGAGTTCGGCTGACCTTGACCGCTCCACCATGTAGTCCGTCCTGGCCTCAGGCTCACGAGCCTCCTCCAAGCGCCAGGATTACAGGTCTGCTTCCCCTCGCGCGGCTCCGCTCTTCGCAGTCTTTAAACTCAGGTCTGGCCGGGGCGCCGCGTCCCGGCTGTGCTCTCTGCCTGCCCGGCAGAGCCAGCGGATGCCAGTCTCCTCCTTGGGCTCGCAGGAGCCGGCCGGAAGAAACAAGGACCCGACCCGAGCATGCCGAGAGCGCGTCGGGGTTGGGGGCGGAAGCGAGGGCGCGGGCGGAGACTGCGGCTCCCGCGGCTTCCGACGCCCCGCTGCCGCCCCGGGCTCGGGAGTAACTGGGCCCGCGGTGTGCGGTGTCCTCTGAGGTCCCTGGAGCGCTCCAGATTCTGAGCAGTATTCACCATGGGATAAAGAGCAAGGCCCTGTGAATGCAGAAGGGCGGGTTTGAAGAATATCCCGGGGTTTGTGTGCGCGACACCGAGGACGCCGCTCTGGGCATCCCCAGCGCAGGGGTTTTGCTCGGCGCTCCGCGGCCCCTTGTAAGACTCAGCGTGCGGCCTCAGTGGGGTCGCCCCCCATGTCGGGGGTTGTCTGTGCCACTCCATCTGTCCCCTTGCTTGGTCTTGCTCAAGCTCTGGGCCGGGGAGCACCGCGCAGGAGGGCGGCGTAGGAGTTTAAGGTGCAACCCTCCACCGACAAAGCCAGCCAGAGCACCCCTTCCGTTGCTCTCTGGTCATCCCAAGGAGGATCCAGCGCACCCGGGACCCCCTCTCGACCCTCGAGAGAGAGAGAGGTAGCTGCGGCAGGCCGAGGACACAGAGGCTGGAATGTCTTGGGGGGAAAATGAATTATCTTGAGTAGGGTGCAAACCAGTTTCCGGTCTACTTAAACCTTTTACCACCTTCAGGTCAAAAGTTAGCCAGCTGCCCCAGTGGCCTAATGGATAAGGCACTGGCCTCCTAAGCCAGGGATTGTGGGTTCGAGTCCCACCTGGGGTAAAGTGACTTCCAGTTGAGGTGAAAGGTCTATTTTGCAAATATGGTCTAATTTCCCCACGGACGAGAAAAAGAGGCATGTAGCATTGGTGAGGGTGGCCAGAATGTAGAAGTGTTTGAGTGTGTAAAGGAAAAGATTTTACTTTTTTTTTTTTGTTCTTTTTTTTTTTTTTTTTTTTTTTTTTTTTTTTCAGTTGAGTTGTTTCTTAAGGGATTTTTTTTTTTTGTTTTTGGTGGCAAGGACCTAACCCAGGACTTCTAGCTTGCTAGACAAGCGATCTACAGCTGAGCTAAATCCCCAGGCCACACTGTTTCTTTAAGGGGCTAGGGAGATGGCTCAGTGGAATAAACACTTCCCTGGCAAGCCAGGGTCTGAGTTCAATCCCTGGTTCCACACTGTCTCTTTAAAAAGAAAGTAGAAGGGTTTTTTTGGGGCCGCTCAGGATGCCTTCAGGGCAGGTCTGGTTTGGCTTGAGGATGAGGGGATCAAACCACAGCATCCTGAGCCTGACTGCTTTGTTTCAGCAGGTACTTAAACACCTGAGTTAATGGGCAGGGCCCCTTAAAAAGAAAGTAAATGCTGCTCCTTTCATACATAGAAATTGCAAGTAATGTAATAACTGGCAGAATGTGCTGAGCAAATGATAGTGACATTTTGATTGGTGGTTTTCTGCTCAGATAGTCTATGTTAATATTGCTATTTCTGCGACTTTTTGTAGTTTCTCCAGAGCAAGCAGGGACTTCATTGGTGGTGGTGGTGGCAGTCTTGCAATCAGCACAAGATTTGGGGTCTAGCCCACTCTGTCCAGATTAACTTGTGACTTAGTGCACACTCTGGTGGCAGAAGGCCTTACGTCCTTGGAACAAGAGGGTAGCCAGGCTGTTGAAAGGGGTTGGGGGCGAGGCCTGTTGTAGCGGACCACAACCCGCACCAGGTGCTTCTGGACCTCCTTCCCATCCTTTTTCTAGTGGACGGAATAACTATTGGAATAAAGGAGAGAGAATTGACCCAAAAAGGAGGGTTATTATGGTTTGGATAATGATCTGCTCATTTGGTGGGGAGGAGAGCAGGGGAATAGGGGGCTTATTCGATTCCCCCATCAGAGGCAATCGTCACTTGTCATTTCTGTTCTTTCCTCTCTGGCTTGAAGCCTGGGTTGAACTGAGCAGATTTTTTTTTTTTTTTCCTAGCTTAGGCTGCCTTAAGGGCAGGTGTGGTGAAGTTGTAGAGCTGGGGATCAAACCGTGGTCCCCTGCGCCTGACTGACTGCAGAAACAGGCAGTTGTAAGCAACTAAGCTAACCTGCAAGCCCCAAGCAGATAATTTTTTTTTTTTTTTCAGAACCGGGGATTGAACTCAGGCCCTTGTGCTTGCCAGGGAAGCACTTGTTCTACTGAGCCATCTGCTTGGCTCCCCCAAGCAGATAATTTTTAAAGTTCTTTGGAGAATGGAACCTAATGCCATGTACATGCCAGGCAAATGCTCTACCACTTGTCTGCCAACTGAGCTACACCCTCAGCCCCTGCATCCCTTTCTTACATTTTAAAATCCATTTTGTTAACTGTTGTATGCCAGTGCAAAAATCAACTTTATCAAGTCTTGTATGTCTTTGGTTTCTTCTTTTGTTTAGAGTTGTGTGG